GAAGGCCCTGAGTGAAGTCCAGGGCGTTCTCATATGTCACAGAATTGTTCCTGCTTCTTTTAAATTAGGATAACAGCGGGGTATGGTTGGGCGGAGAGCTTGCTGGAAGAAGTGTTTTCCCGGCTTCAATCCCAGCACCGCAAAAAACAGAACAAAAATGAGAGGAAAAAAGAAAAAGAAGGTGGGGCTGGCAGCGTACACCTGTAATCCAGCACTCAGGAGGCTGAGGCAGGAGGATCGCTGTGAGTTTGAGGCCAGACTGGGCTACAAAGTGAATTAAAGGCCAGCCTGAACTGCACAGTGACAGCCTGTCTGAAAAAGACCACACACACACACACACACACACACACACACACACAAAAAAAAAAAAACCCCAAAACCCCAAAATCAAAAGACAGACAGACAGAGAGAGAATTTGCCCCCTCCAAAAGCCTAATAAAAATTCTTCCCTACACACACTCTTTGGAGTATGTCTGTGTTTGTGTCTCTGCATGTATGTGTGTGTGTGTGTGTGTGGTCCTGAGAGCAGAGCAGGCCCAAGCAGGAGAGGCCGGGCCTCACACTGAACTTCACTGCCTGGACGCTCTGTTCATAGCTCTGCAGAAGCGAACGTGCTCACTGTTCATAGGACCCAGGCGTGTGATCTGCAGCCTCTCCTCCTCCCGTCCCCCACACCGAGGCTCAAGCTGTCTTAAATGCAGGTGTGACTTCCACCCCCTGTTAAAATCTGCACTGGTTTTCCACTGCTCACAGGACCAGCCTAAGTTACTTGATTTGCTCTAACTAAGAGGTGAATGGCCTGATGTTATGGGACCTGGCCACCTGGTTCTGGTCCCACACAGTCCGTGGACTGACTTCTCCGAAGTCGGGAGCCACATGGCCCTTCTCTTTGCAAGCTGTCCTCTGAGGTGTTCATTATGGTGCAGCTGCCTACGCTCACCCTTTCCAAAATGACAGTGAATGCTGCTGCTGAGCGCCCATCCGATGGAGAGGCAGGCTTGCGAGAACATGACTTTGTGTCTTCCTCTACCTTGCTCTCTGGATTTGGAACTGTGCAGCTTCCAGCTCTTCCCTAAGGCCGAGATGACCATGAAAGGGACATGCTTTGAGTCAGTTCTGGACATTGGGGCAGCCATAACCGTGCAACTAAAGATTCTAAAGCAGACTTCCAGACCTGTTTCCTACAGTGGCAAGAACAATAAAGTAAATGTATTTAAGACGAAGGCGAGTATTTTGAGAGGAATTAATGTCAATGTGTCTTTTCCTGTAATACATCTGTAAAAAAATTTAAATATTCACCATATTTCCATCACACCTCATGCTATTAGGCTATTTATTAAAATATGTGTTAATCCATTTAAAACTATTAAAATTTTACAAACCGTGTTTTCTTACTACAGTGGAATAAAATTTGAAATTTGTAAAAGTAGGGAAGTTAAGAAATCACAAATGAGTGGCTGTTCCCTTTTCTGATGTCCTCTTTGATTTCTTTTTTCAGAGTCCTAGCATTTTTATTGTAGAGGCTTTCACTTCTTTGTTAGGTATTTTTTTTAAGCTATCATGGATAGGACTATGTTCCTGATCTCTTTCCAGTGAGTTCATTGTTGGTGCACAGGAACGCTATTAACCTGTGTATGGTGACTTTGTATTCTGCCACTTTACTGAATTTATTAGTTCTAAGAGTTCTCTGATGGTTTTTGGGTCTTCTGTCTATAGGAGCACATCATTTGCAATATGGATAATTTGCTTCTTTCTCTCCCATTTGTATTTCTTGCCTTTCTCTCTCCTGCCTGCTTGCTCTGGCCAAGTTGGAGGACTGCCTTGAGCACTATGCTGAGCGTGGGTGCCTGTGCCTTGCTTCTGATTTTGCAAGGAACAGTTCCCATGTTTGCCATGTCATATGATGTTGGCAGTGGGTTTGGGATTATACAAATTGTTGTACCTTCTAGAGGGCACTTGAAAACACAATTATTTTTTGTCTTTTTTTGAGACAGGGTTTTGCTATTCAGTTCAGTCTGGACTTGAGCTCACTTTGTAGCTCAGACTGGTCTCAAATTTGCAATAATCCTCCTGCCTCAGCTTCCTGAATGCTGGAATTATAGGCATTGGGCACTATGCTAACACAATCTTTCTTAGTAGGAGAATAAAACAATTTATTATTAATTATCTTGGGTTTTTTCTTTTTCCTTTTTGAGACAGAGTCTCACTATGTAGTCCAGACTAGCCTTTCAGCTCACTTATAGCCCAGGCTAGCCTTGAGTTCATGATGATCCTCCTGCCTCAGCCTTCTGAGTGCTGTGATTATAGTTATGTACCACCATGCCTGGCATTCTTATCTCAGGTTTTAAAGGTCCTTTTCTGACACTAACTTTTTGTGCAAACCCAGAAAGTTCTACATCCCAGAAACTTTTTGTGCAAATCCAGAAAGTTCTAAAACCCCTTGAAGCTGGGTTTTACTAAACCTTTGGGCTCTGCTCACAGCACTGAACAGAGCTAGGAATACTCACTTCAGTTTGAAGTGGAAGCTGCAGTGAGCCTAGGCTGGGGCTCCTGGCTCTCATGATGAGCAGGGCCTTTCTGCAAATGCTGCCAGCCCAGAGCCACACTTCAGCCTGTGCTGCAGGCTGCACCCACAGCAGGTGTTGGAACCCAACCCGGCCAGCACCAGCTTGGTCTGGTGTGGAGAGGAGCTGGAGGGCAGGCACCTAGCTCGTCCTGGCGCAGGGCCTGAACACAGCCTTGTACAGAATGCCCTCCTTCCAGGGCAGTGACAGTTTGCTCTGAGAACAGAAGAATCTTGGTGTGGCGTCAACACGCATGGTTACAGGCTTTGGGGTGGTGCTGATGTGGCCGGATGGAGGTCCTGGTGGATTCTTTCCAGGTTTTTGCTGTCTGAATAAAGAATCAGACAAGACCCAGAAGAGGCAGTGAGGGCATCCATTTGCTGAAGCAGAAAAAAAAAAAAAACCTGCTCTGCAGTGGGGCAGTGGTATGGCCATACCATCTATTGTAGTCAAGGGTTGTGCAGAGAACAATTAGAATCAGGACATGGAAGTTATAATATTGTTTTATGATGGTCACCCAGAGTTAACACAAGAAAGTGCAGGAAATCTGTCCACAACACTAAAGACCCAGAATATTCTGCTAAGGGCCTGAATCCCACAGCAGTGTCCCACATGAGTCTAGATGAAGACCCAGAGCTCATGACAATGCCTCCCTCGAGTCCAAGTGGAGGTCTAGAGCCCACAAGAAGGACTCATGCCAATCTCTTCTACAGATCTGTGCTGGGAAGGCCCAAAGGTCAGCTGTGGGAGCCAGAAAGTCCATGCCAGTGGGGTGAAGGAGTTGTGCTGGTAGGTTGAGGGTTCTATGCTGGAGTTGAGAAGTCATGCTGAAAACAAAGACCAGGGCTGTCCTGAAAGGCACCATAGCATCCTCAGCGACACAGAGACCCAGAGCTCATCCGATATGGGAGACAACTCCAGTGATCCCTTTGAATGCAAAACAATTGCTGTGACTTTGATTACTTGGAGACTCATTTCCTTATACTGATATGTAAAAGGCTGGCTAGGGTATTTCCTTCTCTCTTCAATTGGCTCTGAGCATTGCAAATGAGGTTAGCCATCAGACAGTCCTGTTTCTTCGCATGGTGCTCTCCACAATACAGGATTGAGCTTTTGAGATGTTAGAGCAAATAGCTCCAGGAATGTCAACTGGGTAGGAGCCTCAAGATAAGAGTCTATGACTCCCCAGGGCACAAGAGTTTGCATATCAGACTGCTACCTTAATTGGTTATGTAAGTTGATCCTTCTGCATGTCTTTATCTCTGCAAGTTATAGGGATGCCATTCTTGCACCTGGCCAGCCAGCTCAAGTTACTCAGTAATCCCCGCCATCCTCACTGTCACTCATCCCTGAGCCACCCCCCTTATTCACAAAATACTAAATGCTGGGAGAGGCCTAGGATCGAGGCCTTTGTTCCCATGTCCACAGGAGGATTGGACTTAGGACCCCTTGGCTGCCTGTAACTTGGAACATGTCTTGGTGTCTTTACTCTTGCCATGGGTTGCACTGGTGGTGGTAGATTGGAATTAACTTGGTAGGATTCCAATAACGTCTCAATGGGATTACAATTATAACTTTTTGGATTGCAAGGAAAACTAGAAAGTGGATTACAATACTTGGATGATTGAACTCAATATTTGAGTTTACAATACTTGAGTTTACAATAAGAACAGTCGAGTACATGCCAGGAAGCCAGCATGACAAGTTCCTTCCAGAGAACAAGCAGCACCCATCTTCCTCTCTGGAGCCAGGAAGCAATGTTCAATGTGAGGACCAGAGCTTCTCGAGGAGAACTAACAGCTGAAACGGCAACTCAGGGGAGAACCCACAATGCCTCAGCACCTCTCTTCTCCTTCTCCACATCTCTTTTTATGCTGGCAACCTTCCTCAGGTGGAGCACCTACATTCAGCACCATGGTGATTTAATTCTGCTGGTGTTAAGTTGACCACCAGTTTTTCATCTATGACACCATCAGACGTAGTAAAATCAAACAAAACAGAACAAGAATAGAACCAACAAAAACAAAACCATGAATGCAATATAGGACTTCAAAACAAGATAAGAATAAATCCAAAATGGCTACCATACTATATCTTGTTATCCTCAAAATAGCTGCCCATGGCATCAGGTACAACAAAATCAAACAAGATAAAACAGAGTAGCATCCAACCAAACAAAACAATGAGAATGATTCAGGATTTCAAACAAGATAATAGGGAATTAACAGTGGCCACCACCTTCAGAAGGAGATTCCCATAGATGTTACATTGCATATTGCATTGCATATCGTTATCCTCTGAATAGGTTTTAGGCCTTGTCATGGTTTATGTCTGTGTCCCCCAGGCCTCATGAGTTTGCATTGTGCATTTGTGATGGTCCATTGTCTAGTGCTTGGATTGACAGTGTCAGTGCTCCACCCACATAGGGGTGGAGCCAGGATGTGATGTAATGGCAGGAAGAAGGTTTGTCTTGCTCTTTGCTGGTTCCTGCTTGCTATTTGCAGCCGCCATGAACTTCGGCCCAGCCATGCCTGCCTGTCTTGGAGCCAACTGAGTGTGGACAGAAACCTCCAAAAACTGTAAGAAATAAACCTTTCCTTCCCGAATTGGGCTTCAGGTATTTTGTCTCAGCGATTAGTAAAAAGTAACTAAGATAGGCCTGCAGAGTCAGTGAAACCCTAAACACTGCCAGCATTAGGTTGCACTCACCTCATTAGCCATCATTACAGCCTGTGTTTCTCTGGACCAGCCTGTCGCTTATGGGGCAGAGGGGACATTGGCTCCTCTTGTCTCCCTGCCTGTGCACCAGAAGGGGCTGGCATCTGCCTCTCCCCCACTCAGCCCACACCTGGCGCCAACTCACAGGAGGTCTCAACTTCTTGTTGACTTCTTGTTCTCCCCCGACCCCGCAGTCAGCAAATAGCCCCAAATGAGGGTCTTTTGACCGACTGCGCCTACAGGCAAATGAAGGACTGAAAAGAACATCTCCCAGTTGGTTCTGGGAACAGCCCCAGTTCAAATGTGGGCACCTATACTTACAGCTGCATAACTCTGCTAGCTGAGTCTTGGAGCCGGCCTGTGTGCCCATCGACAGGTGGATGGATAAAGAAAATGTGGTTTGCACCTGCACTGGTCTAGTACTCTGTCATAAAGAAGGAGACACTCCAGTCATTTGTTGAAAACTGAATGCACCTTGAGATCATCATGTTAAATGAAAGAAATCAGACACATGAGCTTAAATACTGCAAGGGTTCTTTAATACGAGAAGTCCAGATTGTAAATAGAGCAAGATAAAAGCAGACGATAGAAGCACAGAGATGGATCTTTTTCAGATGGATAAAGGACCAAGAGATGAAGGTGTGGGAGAGGGGAGAAGGGATGGAAACAGGACTTTACGTTAACGTACCAGCTCCACGCAGGAATGTAATTATCACTACTGCAAATGGGGGTAAAAAAATTAAAAAAGGAAAGAGCATGTTTCGGGTTGACCCGAAGTAGCACTCTTCTGATTGGCTCTGTGCAGTGCCAGTGGTGCTGACGTCACTGCCGCGGGGTCTCCCTCCCCCAAGAGCGCCCCTCCCCCATTGCTCTGATTTATGTGTCGGAGACAGCACTGATTCTGCCTGTTCCTCTCTTCCCTTTATATTCACCATCTGCACAGTAGCCAGGGTAAGAAAGAGGCTCAAAAAATTTGGGATCATAATGTTTTATTCATAGTGCTTTTCTATGGCACATAAAGGCATTGACCTTCCGGGGCTTGCAAAGCCCTCCACAGTCCAGCCCCTGGCTGCCTCCGCCCCAGCTTTACTTCACATTTCTTTTTTTTTTTTTTTTTAAGACTAGTCAAGTGCAGTAGTGAGAAGGGGGGAAAGAGTAGAACAAGGAGTTCAATCTGTACTGACTGTGAACAATCAATTGAGATAACTCACTACCTTCGGACCAGCCTACTTCACATTTCTTCAATAACAGGTTTAGAGGGAAAAGAATTGGAGAGAACTGCAGGGTTTAAGAGACTGAGGAGACCTATGAACCAGTGCGCTGTGTGGATTCTGGTTGGTTTTTGAATTGAGCAAAACAACTATACAGAAGTATGAGGCAGCTGGAATAACTTGGATGTGGATTGGGTATTTGCACTGAGAATTGTTTTCATGGGCCGGGATATAGCTCAGCAGCACAGCACTTGCATGGCAAGCACGGTACAGAAGAAGGAGAAGGGGAGAAGGGGAAAAGGAGGGGGAGGAGGAGGAGGGGGAGGAGGAGGGAGAGGAGAAGGGGGGGAGGGAGAGGGGGGGAGGAGGGGGAGGAGGAGGAGGGGGAGGAGGAGAAGGAGGAGGGGGAGGAGGAGAAGGAGGGGAAGGGGGAGGAGCAGAGGAAGAGGAAGAAAAAAGAAGCAGCAGCAGCAGCAGCACAAGAAGGATTATTTTCATGAGGTTGAGCATCACTGGGAGTTCCAGGCCAGCTTGGAACCACACAGAGAGACCCTGTCTCAATTTTTTTCTAATTTATAGGTGTAATAATTGTATTATGAGAGAGAGAGAGAAAAGAGAGAGAGAGAGATAGAGAGAGAACCCTTGTATTTTAAAGCCATGTATTAAAATACAAATGAAATAACATGGTATCTGGGATTTCCCTTAAAACAATCTAAGGCAGGTAGTGTTGAAGATGGGTGGCAACATTATTGTGCTTTAGCTGGGAGTTTATTGTATTATCTATTCTCTTTTCTTTCCCTTGGGTCCGTGAAAGGATTTTTTAAGAAGAAAACTTGGGGAAAATTGCATCTGGAAAAAATGAGACGGAGAGCAAAAGCAATTTGCACCAGTGGGGAAAGCTCTTTGAATTTGAATTTAAGCTTTATTGTTAATTTGTTTCCATATTGATTTAGTTTTTGATTTAGCAATTCTGTTTCCATTTAGGTGGAGTACTAAACAGCTCTGTAAGCAGTTGTAAAACCACCGTCCTTTTTCTAGTGGAAGGGAAAAGTCTGGCTGTCATTGTCTTATGTTCCCTTTCCTATTACAATAAAAAACATTAGCTGAGTTAGTACATGACCAGCAGAAGGATTTACTGCCTTCACCCTTTATTCATTGTTTTAAAACACCCATGAACACTCTCCTGTGAGCTATGGCGAGACTGTCATGTGACCTCCTAGGGAAAAGTACCCACGGGAACCCACGGGAACCCACGGGAAAGGCCGGGTGCTGGAAGAAACTTGGCGAGTTGAGACCCAGAAGGAGGCAGTTGGCATGGCAGAGAGGCGTCCAGGACTGGAGTCCATGGGCCCTCCGGGCCTCGCTAAGTGACTTGGGCGCCCATGTGACAGGCCGACTGCCTGTGTCTTCCCCCAGCCTTGCTCGGGTTTTTAGTTCTGGGTAGACAAGGGGTTGAGGGGGCCAAGGGTGCCAAGACCCAGTGCTGATGCTGCCCGTGAGGCCTAAGTCTTGTCATTTCTTTTTTCACCTGGGAATTCTCCTTGCAGATAAAGGTGATTACTACAGACCACGGAGGTAAGAATGCGAAGCCCCATGTAACATAAGTGTCAGGGATGAAAGAAAACCCAGGGAAGACCAAAAATAAATAAAAATTCAAAAAATGCTGTATCTCGTCCTAGTAGCCTTGAATCTGACCGCGGCTTCTTTGAACAATCTCGTAGCTCTTTTTGAATAAGCTTTAGGAGCATTCCCAAATACTACAGCACCCAACGCTCCCTGCTCACTGGTGTTTGTGTAAATTCTCCCTCCTTGGGTCTGAACCCTGCTAGATTTAAGCTACTGATTGTACTTTGTGTTTTTAAGAAATTCTGCTTCTTTTCTTTCTTTCTTTCTTTCTTTCTTTCTTTCTTTCTTTCTTTCTTTCTTTCTTTCTTTCTTTTTTCCTTCTTTTCTCAGATAGGGTCTCAAACTGGAGGCTACCCTCCTGCCTCAGTCTCCTGGGATTATTTCCTGGCTGCTGATTTTCTTTTCTGGGTCATAACCCAGGTTGTTGAAAAAACTGCCAAGGTCCTTGACAAAACGACGCAGGGGCTGTCAGAATTAACTGAAAGTCTTAAGTTAAAGTAGCATGCTTATGGTTTATATAGGCCAAGAGAAAATTAAGCTTCTAGGAGTTTGAAAAGTCAGCAGTTTTAAGTGAGTGGTGCACCAGGAGGACTTATTTAATTTCGTGATGATATTTCTGTTACTGTTAATTAACACTCAACATGCTACAGGCCCAAACTCAGCTTTCTGGGCGTTGATCTTATCTTCAGCTTTTAGCTGCTTGGGTTTGGGTAAATGAGGAAGAACCACAATTATGCAAAAAATCACCCCTGGAAAACTTTCCTAAGACCGCAATAGAGGCCGTCAAGCAGGCTGCAAAGCCTGAGTCATGTCTGTCTTACTGTTTGCTTAGCTATTAATCTTGTGTCTAAGGAGGGTCTGCTGGGAGACAAAGGAAGCACCGAGATGGAGCAGCCTGGGAAGAGGCCTGCAGTCAGCTGTGCTAATTAATGGCTTGCTCTGTTCACGCTTTTGGAAACTCTTTGTGCTGGGGATAACTGTGGAAAGATCACAGTTATAACTGAGTTCCAGCCACAAGAAGTGTAGCTGCTTCCGGAAATAAAACTCTCTTCTCTCCCAGACATTCTGCCTCGGCTGACTGGCTTTGAGGGAGGCTGAGCAGCCTACTGGTGACAAGAGCACAGGTACAGAAGTTAGTGATAGAATTAAGTATTTGGTAGATACACAATCAGATTGCTTTGTGAATGAAATGAAATACGTTTTGATGGCATTTGTTTTTGCAATTTTGAATCAATTAACAATAAATGTATGACACAGTAATCAGGATATTGCTAATATCTTGCAAGAAATTTAAAAACCAAACTATTGGTGAAGATTTAAAGAATGATAATCCTAGTGCTCTTGAAGGTGTAAGAAAAAAAGGCACACGCTTTATTTTATTTTATTTTTTGAGACAGGGTCTTGCTATGCAACTCAGATTGGCCTTGAACACTCCCTAAGTAACGCAGGCTGGCTTTGAACTCATGGTGATCTTCCTGTTACAGCCTCCCAAGTGCTGGGATTACAAACATGTGTCACAAGGCCCAGAGAAGGCATGCACTTTTAAACACAGCTGATGAGGGTATAGACAGGTACTCCCTTAACTTTATCCTCCAAACATTTAATGTCCCATCCTTTGGTATAGCAGTTCTATATAGTGGTATAGAGGCTAGGGTCGGCAGCTCTTGATGATACACAAAGAAACATAGAAACATGGTCAATGTAGCATCATTTGTAACAGAGAAATTTGAAACAGATGAACACTTTCCAGAGGAGCTTAGTTAAATAAACTATACTACACAAATACAGCGGAAGGCCGCACAGTGACTAATAGAACAAAACAGATGTGTATAAAAAGGCGTGGAATCATGACTGTGCTCTATTTTTGAACTGAAAAAAATAGTATCAGAACTACTGATTTCTCTGAGTTTGCTGAAGAGAAAGATTTGTGCTGGTGTAGTTCAGACAGTTGAATGCAGATGTCTTGTGCTCTGGGGGAGTGATTTGGGGTTGACAATGCCCAATGTGTGTACCATTGTTACCCC